ATTTCACTTTCGGCGGCGCCCAACTCTTCCAAGTGAGCTTCTAGTGGTTGCAGGCGATTGATCCGTGGAAGGATGCGAGGTAGGCGGATTTAGACTATATAGGAAAGTCGGTCTCAACTATTTGAGGTCATATTCCATTTTAAAGATTACTCATAGTTTCATAGCTGATTCAGTTGCATTCGTTGAGAACAAGTGTTTGTATCAATCTTGTTTTTCAAGTTACTCGTATTGCATATTGATGGATTTCTTGCAGGTTTGTATGCCAGATTTTATTTCAATTGTATGTATTCTTTTCTTTGACAAGAGGGTATGTATTCTGGACAAATTATGTTAGATTAAATGGTTGGTCCTATCTATGTATAATCATGTATTATTTGGGCTGAGACTTGTATTTTTAGTCAGTATAATTTTGTAATGGATTGAACATATTCCTGTAATTTTGAACTGTGAAACACATAGAAGTTAGTTAATTTTGGTAGTATTTGTGGCTTGTTGTGCTCACCCCAGAGGAATCGCAGAAGCTTGCCCATGTTTCTGAACTGATTTCATCCTTGCTACCACAATTCTTGATCTTGGGCCACATCAGATTCATACATTTTGTGAATCGGTATGTTGAATAAATCGTGTCGCTCAGGACGGCCACATGATTCAAGCTGAATCTGGTATCATTTGTGCCTTCGTGCTCGCTTTTCAGGTGGGTCATATAATTGAAGTTGAATCTAATAATACCAAGAGTCTAAGAGGGACGAATACCTGAAGAGATTGATGAGCCTTCTTAACCAGGTTCCCTTCTAGCATGCATTTTTACCTTCTTTATCATTTCTCTTAAGGATAGTCTTTACAAGGTTATCTTGTGATCAGTTTGATTTGAACAAAATGGGCTGAAATAATTGGACAGGCAGGCCAAAGCATTGATATCCTGAAGAACCACATTGTTATCAGATTTCTTCTTAACATTTTGCAGGTAATAATCGAGCCTGTATTTGAATCTTGTGGCTTTACAAGCGTAAACTGCAATGTTGTTAGTTTTTTATTGTTGTGAAGTTCTTTACTCAATTTATAAATTCACTATAAGATTGTGGTTGTCTACTTAAAGAAATGATATTTATTAGACGACCAAACTCACTTGCATGTCATTCCTTGAGAAGATCGGTCTTCCAAATGCTTTAGTTTGTTGTTAGCCAAGACAAACAAATTTATGTAATCTGCCCCATGAGAGGGCGTGGTCTTTGTCAAGGAGTACACTATGATGGGGAGCCGACGATGAGGAAGGCGAGCGTCGGCTCAGTGCGGGGTAGTGGATGGCGGTGACAGTAATAAGAGTTGTCTGTAATGCATTTTCCATGCCATCTGGTTGTATCTCCGTATGTCTTCTTTCCTGTGCTATAAATACAAGCAAATGTTCCACACTACGTACCTTTGGACCAACTGTAATGGGTGATCCTCACTATCTATACATTCAGTTTAAGTTGATCTGAACTTACCATTTGTCCGTTGCAACACATGCCTAACGTCCTCATGTGCACTAAGTACGAGATGCTTCCTTTCCTAACAAATATCAATCTGTGATGAACATCAGCTCGTATAATTTGATTATTTTTGGAGACCTATCCATGTGACCTACTGATGCATATAAATAGCATATTTATCTGCTAAGCCTCTAGAAATTAAGGTTCATGTCACAACATGGACCAAACAAGCAAGCTGAATGGGCAGCAACAAATGAGGCACCACACCATCACGCCTCAAGCGCCGCCACCAGGCGGCGTCCCAACCACTAGTATTCCCATAAAGGTGAGGGGAGTTAGAGCAACTCCAACAGTTTCCCTAAAAACCTTTCTGTAAAAGTGTTTTTACATGATATGATGTATGTAAATTTTAGGGGAACTTCCATGAGAGCTACCTTTTTCCGATCCCGTAAACTTCTTCCCCTAAATCTATTTTATTTTATTTTTCAACAAACAAAACTAGATAATGGCCTAGGGCCCACCAGTCAACGGCACGCCTGATGGCATTTCCAGGGGTAGGCGAGGGCAGTGGTGGCGACAGGCAGCTTCTGGCAACGCGACAATGATGTGGTGCTCTTTCCGACGAAGCGGTGATGGCATGCTAGCATTCTGGCGACATGGCGGCATACCATCAGGGCGGTGGTGTGGCGCGACATGAAGTTTCAGGCGGTTACCTTGCTGCCCAAAGTTTACGAGAAGCAAAACTTCCCCTAAAACAAAAGGGAAGTTGACGTTAAGTTTACAGGATCCTATAAATTTATTCCATGTTTACAGGATCTGTTGGAGCTTCCCAAACTTCCTCCAAAAAGGTAGTTATTTTACGGATACGTGATCTGTTGTTGTTGCTACTAGAGGGAATTATAAGGGATCCTGTAAAAAATTCCCGGCTTTACGGGAGCTTTTGAATGGCTATTTTTGCACCAACTATCCGTAAACAATATTTTTATGAAGGTTTGCTCTAAATAGGGAAACATAGGCCTACATAAACAGCAAACAACATTATTTTTCTGAACGCTTGCAAACTACCTATATTTATGTTGGAGTTTAGCCCCAAATTCATACAGGGAAAAAGATCGACGACAGAGAAAACAAAACCACAACATGACAGCCACATATAGACCACTGAAACGACCAATATGAACCATCCCAACACCCACACACCACCCCAAAACCCACAATCCACAAACCACACCCAAACACAACAAAACTTTATGCTCGGAATCAAATAGGAAGCAATTAACAAGGACCAAAGAAAATAACAAACCTCCAAGGAAAGAGAAGAAAAAGGAACCAGACGATGCAAACCCACCAGCCGAACCACACCGCAGCCTCACTTTCAGATCTAGCAACTTCGAAGAAGCCGATGCAGGAGAGAAAGAAATGGAGGGAGCAGGCCCCTCCCCTCCGGAGAAGCAGAAGCGACTGAGCCCCCACCCCCTCTCGTGCTAGATACCAACGCCGGAGTAACAAGCGATGAACTTATATTTTCTGAAGAATTTCCTGTCCCAGCAACATCTTCAATAGAGATTTATGTTGTTTCTCTTAGTATTAGTTAAAAGAAGTGTCTTTCATATACTTTAGATAAATGATTCATTACATTGAACTGTGTATCTCTTCCTTTGTTAAGATGCCAGTCCTATCTTGACATGTTGAGCAAGCACAGCTTGGGAGGTGCAGGACATGCAACCTGGTGCATGTCTAATATCATGGGATTAGTTCCTGTAGTGGAACCGATCCCCTATAACCGAACAAGGCCTTATTGGGCCTCGCCTATCTAATGTCATGGGAGCGGGCTAAAAATAGATGGATCAATGGGAGAGAGGCTGGGCTTCAGGAACTATAACCGGGCCCGGTGAGCCAAGTGCGGGAGCCTGAGAGCTATATTTTGAAATTGTTTGTTGTAATTTAGGTATTAAATGAGTTTATAGTTATTTATTGGAAACTATTCCCAAAACGCACACACCTCAAATAAGGTCTATATGTTAAAATATTATGTTTAAATAATTATGTATTCCCTCTGTAAAGAAATATAAGAGCGTTTATTATATTTCTTTGCGGGGGGAGTATATTGTTAGCTCCAATCAAGAAAAATAAGTAATGTATTCTCCGGAAAATCCATCATTTGCTGCATTTGATCAGTTTTCCCTATTTTGTGGGATCATGTTATGACTCATAATGCTACATTTAAATTTCACACATTTTCAAAAAATGCACAATACATTGCTTTGTAATTGATTAATCTAGGATGATGGGTCGTATTCTTGAAATTTGCGATTGAAAACAAGGCCAATAAGATGACTTCGGAACAAAGAATGATGCATGGCCATTTTGTTAGGCAAGGCTTTTATTCTTTGAGAGAGTAAATGCCGACCACGACCTACATGCTTTCTGCTCACACACACATTCAATATCCAAAAGTCATACCCACATATGTAATTTGATTAAATACAAGACACAGATCAAAACTGAGTGGGGTGGGAGTGTAACTTCCCTCCACCATTAGTCGATAGCCCACATATTGGTGGAGAGACTTTCTGTTGTATAACTAAAGCATAGAAATAATAAATAACTTCATCGGCCCACTATTTCCGTAAGAGTTAAAGAATTGACTGAGTTCTGAATATTGTTCCTAAAGTGCTCTAATTCGGTTTCCCGGCGCACAAGGTAGGCAGGGCAATTGGGATTTGGAAGTGTGGTACTTCCGTTCTCTAGGGCGGTCATAATTGATGACATCAGTGGCCTATCATCTGGGTTTTCCTGAACGCACAATAGTGCTATATGGATGCAAAGAAAGACTTCGTGTAGTGAACACGTATCGGTGATAGATGAATCGGCCATATCCTTTGTCTTCCCTTCCTTCCACATATTCCACGACTGAAACAACAGAAACCATTATTTTAGTTGCAGAACCTTTTCCTTTCAAAAACTGGGCATAATTTTCTCAGTTTAGAACTATAGAGGAAGTATGTATGTACTCACATAGTCTATAAGACTAGAAAAGCCCATGGTGTGAATGATAGAGCTTCTCTTTATGCTGGTTACAATCTCTAGTACTAACACACCGAAGCTATAGACGTCAGACTTGGTAGAGAAGACACCTTCCATTGCATACTCAGGAGCCATGTAGCCACTGCTTGATTATATATTCTTGCAAGAGTTACTGGAATTGAATTTGAGTATAATCACAAGTTAAAACAACCTACTAACTGTATAGCTACTTACTATGTTCCAACAACACGTTGGGTGTTTGCATTTTCCTGGTTATCGCCAAAGAGCCTCGCCATACCAAAATCTGCTATCTTGGGTTTCATATCTCCATCTAGCAAAACATTTCCAGCTTTGAGATCTCTATGAATTATTGTCAGTCTTGAATCTTGGTGGAGATAAACAAGCCTTCTTCCGACACCTTTGATTATATTAAACCGTGTTTCCCAATCAAGCAACCGCTTTCTTGAATCATCTAAAGAAAAATAGAAATATTATAAAAAAAAACTATTGAGTTGTGTGATGATATTGTAGTGTGTTTCTAGATATACCGAAAAGTGTGGCATCCAAGCTTTTATTAGGCAAGTACTCATAAATCAATAACTTCTCATCTCCCTCGCCACAACATCCCAGTAGTCGAACCAAATTACGGTGTTGTAATTTGGCAATAAGTATTACTTCATTTGTGAACTCAATTGTCCCTTGTTGAGAATCCCTACTTAGCCTTTTGACAGCAACTTGTTGACCACCTAGTGTTCCCTGCATAATTGTCAGCTCATGATATGAATAAATCAACTAGGCGACCAACTTTGGCAGGAATAAGAGGAAACTATGTTGAACAAATTATCTTATAAACTTTGCCAAAGCCTCCTTGTCCAATCATACATGTTTCGGAGAAATTTTGTGTAGCCTGAGCAATTTCCTCAAATCTTACAAAGGGAAACTCAAGGTCACTGGAACTATCGAATGGTGCCTTCTTGTGTTTTCCCTGGTTCCTGTTCTTGCCTGCTCCCACAGTTGTATAACATTTCTTGTCAGATGAGTATAAGATTGTAGGCACAGGAAAATATGAAGGGCTCCAGTTGGTCACTTGAACTAATCGGTTTTTGTCCATTGTACCAGTGCAAACTCACATAACCAGAGCAAGCCCACGGTACACTTCGGCCACCAAGCAAACGCTATAATTTACATTGTGGTGATGCTCAGCATATACAGTAAAATTCCGTCCACAAGACACATCTATTTTGTGTACCAAGGTGGCTAAATTATATTGTCCTGCATTTGTATATTCGTGGGTCACGTGTACGACGGTGAGGTACATCAAACACTAGTAATTTTGAAAAGGTCATAAGGCATATGTATGATGATGCCACAACTATATAGTCCCCCACGATGATGAAATTACATGCTCAAAAGACATATAAAGGGTCAATCGTGATAATTCTAGACATATGGGATCATTATGGGATATTCCTTTCTAGACTCTCCAACCCCCTTGAATTCAACTGGGTGGGCCCCTTCCCACGAATTCTATCCAACCACAGAATCCAACATAGGCTAGTCCGTTAGTCCGGTACCATATCATCTGTGCGTGTAGTAATATTACTCAGGTTAGGCACACTCACTTGCTCTGTTTCATGGGTTATGAGGCCCTTAGACTATCCACAGTGGGAGTAACATAGGTAGTAACATCACACATATCTAGGTTAAATAGATGATGTGCATGATATAAATGAAGAAAAAGATGAAAGTGGTAACATAGCTAGTTACTACTAGTATGAGTAACATCACACATATCAAGATAACATGTGTCTATAGCCTAATAAATGAAGTGTTATGTGTTACCACACATATGTTACTCTCCACTATAGAGATAGTAACATAGACTAGTAACATGGGCATGTTACTAGTCTATGTTACTATCCATTGTGGCTAGTCTTATGGACTAAGCTACAATTAATGTTAACAGACAAATTCCAATAAATCAAAGTGCAGTTATGGATGACCTATCGAACGTAAATTTAACTTACCACTGAATTTCAACCATGCAAGAAAAATGCACATGATTATCACCACACTACTTCCTATGGCTGTCAACGCAATCCTCACTGCATTATGCTTCGTTTTTTTACCTGTAAGCATGCATATATATAGCATAACACCGATCAGCTCCATCATAGTACTAATTGCATATATTGCCTGCAAAAAGAACTACCAGTTGCATCATAGTACTCCTATAAGAAATTGGCAGAGATTCAGGTGGTACCAGCTGCAACATCCAATCGGGCGAGCCGGAGATAGAGCGTGTCGCTGGCGGGGCTGCTTGCGCCCAACTTCCCGGTGTCAACCAACTCCCCGGCCCACACCAAGCACCTCGTCATGTCTCCCCTGGACGTGGCACTGCTCAGGTTGGCGTACGCGTACGCCACGCAGGAGCAGTTGCGGTCGCACTCCGCCGCGCACCCCTCCAGCGTTCTGTTGGCCACGAGCACGAACCCGTCCGCCGGCTTCATCCCCGGCAGGGACACGAAACCGGCACCGGCACCGGCAGTGCACCCGCGCAGAGGCTCCTTTCGCCGGCACCCCTCTGAGAACCTGCCGCCGGTCCAGTCCCTCGTGCTGGCCGGCACGAAGCCATCGAGGCACTTGCACGTCGGCAAAGGCCTGGCCGTCTCATCGCAGTACCCGTTCGGGCCGCAGTAGCCGTAGCTGACGCACGGGTACGGCGGCCACTTCCCGAGGACGGCCCACGCTGACGAGCTGGCGTTCCAGCTCTGGATTTGGAGCTCGCCGGTGTAGGTCACCACGCATCTGGTGAGCCATGCGCCGTCCGAGACGGTGAAGGTCGTGTAGCTCTGGTTACCGTCGTTGACGACGGCCAGGTAGATGATGATGGAGCTGGTGCTGCTCGTCTGGTACTGGTAGTCGCTCTTCACCCGGTACCCCGTCCACGGGGGGCCGCGGTACACCGGGCGCGTGCCTTCCCAGAGGAATACCTGCGGGAACGTGTCCATGTCGGTGCCGTAGGAGAAGTTCCCCGGCGAGGGGTTGCCGGCGCCCTTCCAAGACACTAGGCGCTCACCGTCACGCGTGCCGTGCTTCAACGCCATCTTCATGCCGGGGAGGAGCGTGTCGGTCGGGTGGTCGAAGCTCTGCCACAGCGTGGTGCCGTTCGGCGACCGGACGACGAGGTTGCCGGTGTTCATAAGCACGGCCGTTGGGGAAGAGGAGCTCGACGCAGCCTTCACGCGGGTCGTCCAAACGACGATATGGTCGCTGCCATTACCGTCGGAGAGAACAAGGTCGGATGTGTTGGTGAGGGAGAGCTTGGGTGTTGTGCTGTTGGTGACCGGTGTTTCCCGGTTGGCGACCCACACCACGGTGAGCTCAGGGACGCCGTTGTACCAGATGCCAAGGTGCAGGTTGGCCGGACCTGAGCTGGACGGGGCGAAGAAGCCCAAGGCAAAGTCACCGCCGTCGGAGACGATGGTGGCTCCGGGGACGAGCGGCTTGCCGGGGACAAGCCGGTCGTCGGACGCACGCAAGGGCAGGAATGCAAGGATCAGCACAGTGACGGACATTCAAGAGCTGACCACTCCATCGATTTTGCAAAAAGAATCGCGGGGGGGGGGAGCTAAGAGAGTTTAGACCAGAAACAATAATTGCAGTATTACGATTGCTAAGAGAGTTTAGACCAGAAACATAGCCTTAGTCATACAAGCAACAATAATGCAAAGATTACCTTAAAAAATGCAAAGACTTTGGAAGATACTATGCTGATTTGGGAGCATTACACCATTTCCCTTTTCAAGGTAATGAAATTCACGGATATATTGCCGAAAAAGGGTTCACTGCTTTGTATACAAAGCAACCAACCGAGAGAAGCAATTGATAGGTGTTGGGGCGGAAGCAGCACAATCACGCCCAAAAGAAATGAAAGAGAAAATACAAGAAAAAGAAATGCCGAAAACGGCGGATCGACAAAAACGAAGAAGCCTCGCGACCGCTGCGTCCACCGGAGGTCGCCCACCAAGCTCCGAGACTCAGAAGCGCCGATACCAATCAACACCTTCAAGAAGGGACGCGACGATGATGACACTACTGCCAAGTGTTTCCCCCGGTACGCATCGAGGAGAGAAGAAGGGTAGCCCTGACGTCCTCCAGGAAGGTCCAACGGCACCCTCAGGCGCCACCGCGTCGGTGTCGGCCAAGCCAACACGGATTTCTCCCGATCCCAACCTCCACCTCAGGCAGTCCGGATCTCGCCACCAAACCGACCACCACCCTGCGCCAACCCGGTCATGAAGCTCCCCACGCTGTCTCACCACTGCACCGCGAAGCATGGCCTGCACAATGAAGAAGAGGAGCCGGGACTAGGGCAGCAGCACCGTCGGAACGCGGGAGGGCCCCACCACCACCGTCAACGACGGTAGCTGACCGGATGCAATAGCACGAACATACCATGCCTGTAGCCGCACAGGCCCGGCCGGCCTCTCGAAAGCCCATAAAGTTTCCGCCTTCGCGCTGCAGCCGGCACGCCATTGGCGTCGCCGCCCCTGTCCAAGCCGCTCCTCTGCTTCGCCGCACAGAGGGCGACTAGGCCGCGCCGGAGCCTTCCCGCTAGGACCCAGATGGGGCCCTACGGGCCTAGCTCTGGGCCGGTCGCGGCACCGGCCACCCAGCACCACCGGACCGCCCCGCCGCCAAGTGGAGGCACCACCACTGCGCGCGCCGCCGGTCGCCGCCACCAAGACGCCGGACCACCATCCGGAGTCGTGCCGCCAGGAGCAACCGCCGCCGCCGGAACCATTGTCAGCCGAGGAGCACCGCCGCGGGACGCCAGCACCCGAGCCATGGCACTGCGCGGGGAAGGAAAGGTCGTCGCCGCCGCCAACGCCACGCGAGCAGGGCCCGGTGGCGCAGGCCGGCGGCGGCGGGAGGAGGGGAAGGGGAGGGGGCACTGGGAGGCGGGGAGAGGGCCCCCGGTCGCCTCGCTCGGGAAGGCGACGCAGGGGGCGGGCCGGGAAGGGGAGGGGGAGGCGGGGCGCAGCGCGGCGCGCGTGGCCGGCGGCCGGAGGCGTGAGAGGGGAAGGCGGCCGCCGGCGGCGGCGGGGGCGAGAGGAGGAAACCTAGGTCGCTCCTGGGTCAGCTCGGGGTCGTTTTTCGGCTAGCTTCCTTTCACTACCGCGACCTCACGGATATATTCATGTCCACATTCTCCGTCATTGTAGCGTGCTCAAAGCCCCTGCAAAGATCCAGCCAGAGCTTTCTCATGTAAAGCAGTACTGCGCTTGTTCAGTGTGGATCACAGGTGTTACCTGCTCGATTTCTTTTTCTTCTGTGTCTGCTCCCTTTAATGTTGCAGTTTTTTTTTTACTGCAGCATTGGGATGTAAAGTTGTAAGAGAAAGTCAGAGTTTACCTGTTCTTTTCTTAGCATTACTCCTCAAACACACTCGTAAAAGATGTGATCACTGTTTGAGATGTGCTGATGTGCACTTCACGTAAGGATCCGAAACAACATCAAGGTTGCCATTGGGGGCGTTTGGTTCGAACAATTTTCCTTCGGTTCAGCGCAGTAAGAGCATGTACAATCATGATTGCCAAATTTGTCGGACGGTGATCGATCACTCTCCATT